ACCTTTTCATTTCTCTGTGCTCTCACACAGCTTTTAAGTATACAGTCCCTAAAGAGGCAATGTGCAGTAAAAAACTAAATTGTAAGTGATTTTTTTGTTTGGTCAATTCTAGTCCATTTTAAAGGATCTATACAACACTTTTCAACTTGTTTTAACTTACAGATAAAGATATAGATAAATACAGATAAATTACTGCTTATTACTGCTTACGCATCTTAACTGGATATTATTCATGCGCGTTTGTAGTGTGTGTGTGTGTGTGACAGTCGTCTGAGCCTGTGTGTGTGTGTGTGTGTGTGTGTGTGTGTGTGGCCTGGTTAACTCAGAAAGAGAAAAGATAATGAGTTTAGCAATCAGTCAGAGCTGGGTGATATGATGAAGATCATCCTCACAATATTAAAATGTTGCCAATATGGTAAATATGTGCACAACCATTCATACAATTGTTAACAATTATTCTACTTAAAAATGAATTTGTCAAATGTTTGCATAAAAAATGTAAGAAAACAGTGAAAACTGTCGAGCCCAGTTTCTTAGAATTCAAATTGGTGTCTTCAGGTGTTACGTTTTGTCCAACCAACAGCAAAAACAGGCAAGCAACAAAAGGATTGCTACTGATTATCGTTTCAACTCTACAAATGAAAAGCTTCAGTAAATAATTTTGCCAATTTTTTATTCACTACTATTACCACTATTATCAATTAATCAATTAGTTGATCAAAAGAAAATGAATCCCGAACTATTTTGATTAATTGATTAATCGTTTCAGTCATTTTTCAAGCAAGAACTTCAACTATTTGCTGGTTCAAACTTCTTAAATATGAGAATTTGCTGCTTTTCTTTTGCATTTATGATAGTAAATGAAGAGTCTGTCAGTTTTGGACTGTTGGTTTGACAAAAGAAGCAAATTATAGATGTCACTTTGAGTTCTGGGAAATTGTGATAAGTATTTTTCATACTTTTTTGAAATTTTATAGACTAAACAATTAATTGATTAATCTTGAAAACAATGGGCAGATTAGTCAAAAATAAAACAATCATTAGTTGCAGCCCTACTGCTGAGTCATTCATTCATTTGGAAGGATAACATAATATGAGCATATTTAAGAAGTATGATTCAGTTAAAAGTTGATGAACAAGTCTGTTTCTTAGTCGTTGAATAAGCAGTGAAAAAAGTGAAAAGTTTCTGTGCGAGACGTCACATGAGGATAAAACTGTTGACTGCCAGCGTGTTTATCAGCCAGTCAACCAGCTGAGTGTTTTAATGTTCACACTTCTTGTGATTCTTCCAAAGGAGACAATACAGCCAGAGGGTTTTATTTAAAGAGATCATAAGGCTTCCCCGAACCCAGCATTGTTCTGTGTGATTGGCTTGGCCTCACACTGCGCTAAAGGAGAGGCTGAGGAGTACACACACACACACACACACACATACAGACACACCATTATTCTCCATTGTGATGTTTCTCTGTGGACTCCTGGTTCAATAGGATTGAGAGAACAATGTCCAGAGGATATAGGAGGTCAGGAGGAGAGAGGGGGAAAAACCTTTGTCTGCTCTGCTGCCCTTGTGCAGACGTCCCATGTATAGGAAATGGTACACACACACACATGCACACACACAAGCACATGCACAAATCATTCAAAACGCAAGGAAACAAAGTCAAAAGTCTAATGTGAGTATGAAAACAGGTAAGAGGTTTTCTAAATTACAATCCTGTGGAGTGCATTAACGTGATCATAACATGAATGGAGGATGGAGAAGCTCTATAAAAACACAACACCAATACGGGAATTGATTTTTTAGGAATTTCAGAAATACAATAATGGTATACGAGCCGATAGAATATTTGTGTACATAAATATAAACTACAAATCTTGATATGGATTCTTTACATTTCTTTTTTTAAACTGTGACCAATATACATACAAATCAGGGTGTTTTACAGTGTAAACATACACCAATAAATCCAACCCGATCACCAGAAAAAAATGTTGGTGTTATACATTTTCTGCAAACCATGGATACGTTACATTTTCATGTTATTATCATGTGTAAAGCTTAGGCAGTATCATGGTATCACAATATACCGGGGTACTAAGGAATCCTGACGGTATGATTTTCAATATTTCTATAAATACAGGCGCTTATCAAACCCAGATGGAGAGGCTGAGGGGTTGCGACACACACTAACACCGTCATACAACATACACCCTGGTGAAATGTCAGGAAGGTATTAAGGTATGAAAAAACAGATACCACAGAAGCCTACTGTGTAACAGACATGTTGAAACTTTACATTTCAACAGTGCTGTGGTTAACATGTGGTGAAGTTAAGGCACAAAAACCACCTGGTTAGGTTTAGGAAAAGTTAGTATTTTGGCTTAAAATACCCGCTTTTGGTGTCACAATGTTGGCTGGAGACACAGCTATGTCTTGGTAAAATACAACTGTTTTTTGTGGCACTGTCAGCAACGGGCTGTTACAAAACATCCACGTGTGATGGCTAAAATGCTGCTGGAAACACAGCAACGACTTGCTAAAAAACAACCCTTTTTGTTGTTAGTCTTGCACAGTGCTCTGTAGCTTAGCAGGCAGTTGCCAAGGTGTCATGGCATCCACCATCCCCCTCCATCTCCTGATGACAGAGTCAGCTCACATACATCACTTTAGAGAAGTTACATGAGACATGGAAATGTAATGTATCCATGTTTTGCAGAAACATACAATGCTAACATTTTCTTCTGGCGACTGGACTGATATATCCGCAGTGGGCTGATATCAGCCAGTAAATGGGCCTGGCTGACTTATCGGTCTAACTCTAATCACCATTACTTTCAAGTCCCAATGTTAACCATCAGATTGTTGTTTAGAACAGATTACTGCTGTTCTAAAGGTCATTTAAAATCCTCAGAGACTCTCCTCAACATCTGCATGAGAAAGTTTCCTGCGCAGGTAGCAAGACGTAACACATGCCCGTGTCATTTTTTTTTTCTTTAAAGAAACAGTGACATATATAATTGTGACAGATTTTTCATTTTGGTTCATGTTGTACAAATTGAGACAGGAGATTAGTCATTTCTGTCTCTCGTTTTTGTATTTGGAAAAAGACTCAGGGAAATGTGTTTTAAAGCTTTTTTCCACAGTGGACTGAATATCTGCTCATTCAGACGGTGAGAAAGGTCTTTGAGGATTTGATAAATACCTTCAAAATAGCACTAATAGTTGTTCAACAACCTTCAGACATCACTGGATATTGAACTTTTAGGAATATTGGATGCTGAGTTCTGTATCTCTAACGTGATAGGAACACATGAGAGCCATAAAGTGGGACAAAGTTTGTTAACTGGTTAGGTAGTATGGAGCATAAGTGCTGTTGCCGTGGTTACTGTTGACCGGTTTAAGTTGTCCTGATGTCGGATTTTAACAGACACCTGTCTGCCAAACACAACTATGATGTAAGACATGATAGCAGTGCTCTACCTGAGTGACAGAGACAGAGAAAGAGTGAGAGCCTGGAACACCTTTTGTCCTGCGTGAACTCATTCACCTGAGAAGACAAAGCTCTACAAGAGACAGAAGAAGGGGGGGGGGCAGAGGTGAAGGGTGAAATGCCAAACCACTCCCTGAGATTATCCTGCATGTTTATGTCAGAGTTAGAGCAGAGGTATATAGTCCACAGTATGTGCACTGCTCCATCCTGTCCTCGCTGTGGAGGCTAAAAAGCATGATGGGAGCGTGTGCATGTGCAAGTATAGAGATGCAGCATTACTGTCTTTCTAACTGGCCTGAAAATAAAGAGAAAGAGAGAAAAGAAAAGGAGTGGTGGCAGCAGTGGGGGGTGTGAGGATGGGAGTGAGGAGCGAGTGAGGAAAAGAAAGAAGATTGACGGAGAGAAAGGTCAGGGACTCCCCACTGACGGATAGCTTTGTATGCAGCCAGCCACTGTAAAGACGAGCACACGCACACTCACGCAAATCTACAACTTCACTGTTCAGTTCCACCCCCACTGTGGCAGAATGCCCACTGGCTTTTCCTTACTTTGTACTCTGCGCTGAGGCAGAGAAGTCACCTCTGAGCTGGTCACTTTACGCTCATGGTGTCCTCAACTGTTTCGCATATCGACAGCTTTAGTATGTGATCAACATCACACCCTTATGTGTGACCCCTGTCAGATGCAGCGGACCCCTGAATGCTTTCAAAGCACCCATGTGTACGACCCAAAGCACCACTGACCTACAATATCCCCATGCTTCACATACTGCATGTAAACTATGTAAACTATGACTACTCTGTGCAGCATGAGCCTTACATAAACGACACACTAACCGGACAACTGATAAATGACAGTAAGTGCTCCCTCTCACTGAGACGACCTCACATCCCTCCGACACTTGATAAAGTTCTAACTCTTCTTCCTAAACTTCAGTGAATCAGCTGGAGAACAAAAAAAGAGGGTGTTAAAAGCAACAATGTTGCTGTTAAAAGCAACAATGTTGCCGCCTGTACCTATTCTCAGTGAACCTGCTGATATCTGCTCATTTGCATCTGCCAACAGGACTGACATCATCATCATCATCACCATCATCTCCCCCTAACTGTACACTGCCAGTCGGAAGAATCTCCTGTGTGGCACATTCAGGGAAGGAGACATAAAGATGTCACAGAGAGAGCAGAGTGGAGAGAAGTGGGTACAACTTAGAATAAACTGGACCATGTGTTTGTTTTATTACGGAGGAAAGCTGAAATAGAAGTTTTTGGAAGTTGGGAGTTCATGCATGGGGTGATTGCCCAACCATGTCCCTTTTAAGCTGCTAGATGGTTCACACTCTCACAGATCCACACCTGAAATTCAAGATAAGTTTTGAACGCAAAGGCTGCGTGACACTGAGACTTTGAGTGAGTTGTAATGTGCGCAGCTTCCTCACATCTACAAGGTTAGTTCATGACAAAGATTAGTTGTTACATTTCACCGATGTGCAATCAAGCCTTCACTCACCAGTCCCGGTGCGCCCTGAGCTCGCCACGAGAAAAAAACTTCCGTCCTCCTCCTCTTCCTCTCCCGCTTTAATTCCTCACTGCATTCAAAGCACGGTGGTTTGGGACGGAGGCTGCTCGGTACGTGTGCTGACTTCTCTGCCCCCGGTCCTTCAGAGTGGAGAGAGCCGGTCGGTGGTGGATGTTGGTGTTAAGAGGACGGCGGGGAGTAAAGAGAGAGAGAGGGGCGGAATACTGCTGCGGTGCGTAAATGTATTTGAGACAGAGAGCGCAGCGCTGCTCTCACTCACTCACCCTCTCACTCACTCACTCAGTCCCGGTGACTTTGTGTCTATCCACTGCTCTGGGTTTCCAACATTCATCGTCCGCAGCGCCCTGCCGCTCACCTCCCACTTAAAGGGAGAGGGACTGATTTCCAGGTGGTGGCGGAGGGGACACAGAGGGAGGGAGGGGAAACAAACCCAAACGATTATCCGTCACTGGCGGCTTGTTGCAGTTATACACAAATCGGTCGGACTATCGATAGCTATTGATGGGTTAGTCCTGATCAATTGACAGCCTTTTCTCCTCCTTTGGATCCATATCCAATCCAATATCTATTCACAGAAATGTTCACTTTAGTTTAGCTCAGTTCGATTGTATGGGAGAGGATTAGGGCCAAACGTGGGGGCAACAATAGAGACGTTTTTTGTTTTCATTATGAGAATAAAATCAAAATGTCATGACAAAGGTCAAAATCGTGCGAAAAAGATAAACCATTTTTAGAATAAAGTCAAAATGTCAAGAGTTAAGTTGAAATATCACTAATACAGTTGAACTATTTTGGAAATTAAGGCTTAGTTTAGTGAATAAAGCTGAAATACCATTTTTAAAATAAAGTTCAAATGTCGAGAATAAAGTAAAAATATCAAAAATAAGGCTGGAATGTTAAGACTTAAGTCAAAATGTCGTGAATAAAACTGAAATACCAATATAAGAATAAATTCGAGATATCAACGATAAAGTTGAAATTTTGAGAGTAAAGTCGAAATGTGAATAAAATTGAAATTCTGTTTTGAAAATAAAGTCACAATATCAATGATGAAGTTGAAATTTTGAGAGTAAAGTCGAAATATCAGTGACAAAGTCGAAATGTTGAGAAGAAAGTTGAAATACCATTATGAAAATAAAGTCACAATATCAATGATAAAGTCAATATGTCGAGAATAAAGATGAAATATAGGAATAAAATTGAAATACTATTTTAAGAATAAAGTCTTAATTGATGATAAAGTTGAAATGTTTGGAATAAAATCAAAATAACATTTTGAGAATAAAGTTGAAACATCTACAATAAAGTCAAAATTTCGAGAACAAAGTCAAAATGGCAATAATAAAGCCGAAGTGTCGAAAAAATCTACCTGAAATACCATTTTGAGAATAAATTAGAAATGTGAATAACATTGAAATGTCGAGAATAAACCTGACATTTCAAGATTGCAGTTAAACATGAAAATAAATGAAACCATTTGTGTAAGCGTATACAGCTGCCTCTGCAAAATGCCATTTATAGATGACTTGGTAAACTAGTCCTTCAGAATCGGTTTCAGTGTGTCACAGAAATTTCTTATGTTTTCATGTGTAAAAACAGTTTGATAATAAGTGTTAGGATATTAAAGAGATTGTGCCAAAATTGCATCTTTTCGGAAGGAGACAAATTTGTAAGCGCTGATCACAAACTGAAATAGGGTACTGATGCATCAATACTAAAAAAATTAAATTACTTCTGACTCTAAACTCAGAACTTAATTTTTTTCACTATTCTATTTGTTGTTTAGTTCATAAAATGTCAAGTACCAAAGGTGATGCCTCATATGTCTTGGGGACTGTACATAAATTATTAGAGGGGGAATTGGTGGTCATAATCATTTTTATTTTTGCTGAAGAGAGGGTAGTCTGATGTACTTGCAAAAGAACTCCTGCACACTGTCTAACTTGCAATAAATAATTTATTTGTGACGTTTCAGTACTAGACCTTCATCAGGCAATGAAGGTCAGGTTTGCCTGATGAAGGACCCTCATCAGGCAAACCTGTTTGTCTGATGAAGGTCTAGTACTGAAACGTCACAAATAAATTATTTATTGCAAGTTAGACATTGTGCAGGAGTTCTTTTGCAACTTTTTGATCTTCTCTCTCCAACGCACCTGTCTTTTTTAATAGATGTGCAAAGTGTTTCCTTTGCTCTAAATCTGATGTACTTGAAAAAGCCAAAAAGATGCTATCATGTCCACCACAGGTCATAAAAATGTCTATACCAGGTGACAACAATCATGTCTCGGGACCAGGGGTTTATTTTCCCATGACAATCAAATAAGCAGCTAATAGGAACAAACACCAAACATATGGGTCATATCAGTTATTGAATCTGTAACAAGGAGGCCATTTTCTCACTAGCCTGTACACTCTCTCATTTGCTCTGCATCTTAACAGACAGCAGAATTGCAGCAAGTTAAATGTGTCACATAAGACATCACACACTGCCACTAATTCGTCTAGTGAGATAAAATACATTGACAGTGGTTGTTTACAGTTTGGAAAGTTAGGACAATGATCAGCTCAGCTCGCATGTTTGCAGTCCCTGGGTGATTAAAACCCGCGCACTTAGACTAAGATAAGGCTCTCAAAGATTTGTTTTGCATATAAAATATTCCCTAATGTGTCAAATGAGAGTATCTAGCTCTTGTATATCATCACCTTAAATTAATTTGCTTTTCTTCTTTAAGTTATTTATTGTTAAAGATATTGTTCCAACTCCCTTATATGTTTTTAATATACTGATGGGAGGGTTTTGCTTTGTTTTCTTCATTCAAGGGTTGGGTCCAAAGAAAAAATGATTATTTATTTTATTTTTCTTTAATGAAAACATAAAGTTCAGCCACTCTCCTGTGTAACCTTAGTACAGTCCCTTATTTTGCCTGACCAACAGACTCGACAAAAATGCTGTTAATGATGATACAACAGAGAAAAGCAGTGCATCTTGTTAAGAAGCTGAAATGAACAAATCTTTGGTATTTTTACTTAATAAATGCCTTAAATGATTAGTAGATCACCAATTAGGAGATCATTCAATTTATTAGTTAATCTCATATAAATAATTAACTTCTTAATGGCTCTAAACTAAAAAAAAAAGTTTCCAGTTTGCCCATAGTGGTTTGTATTCTCTGCAGAGAGTTTTGGTTTTGTGTGTCATATTTTTTACCAACATCTGCCGCCACCCAGATACCTGAGGGATTAATTGAATTTCATTTCTGCTGCTTAAAGTAACAAAATAAATGACATTTGACAAACTCAACAGCAATGCTTCATTCCAGTAAAAACTTCAAATTGTTTTGTGACCTGGGTACAAAAAATACCAATTATCTTTTCCTTACAAAAACATTTGAAAGAAAAGTTTTATCCAGAGCAACCGTTTGTTTCCAAAATTCTTTGCCTTGAGCGTCACATTTCTTTTCCACTGTATTGATGTTCTGGCAAAAAATAGTCCAAAACTTCCAGCATGTGTGGAAACAACTTGTTTGTGTAATTTGGGTGCAGTGACCCTTAAATCACTTCATTTATTTTTCCGTTAAATTCCCTATAAAAGTAGATTTATGCACACACGCAACAGCAGTGCATGAAGTACACTGAATACTCTGTTTGGATTCTGCATTTTCTTTTTTCCCAGATGCTTACTCTGAATGACACATTCATACCCAGAATCATGTTTTTAATGGCTGCACTGTTACATCAAATGAAAATATCCTGGATGCCTTCATCTTTCATTTCATACTTTATATGCTGTATCCTTGAAAATGACAAGATCTTTGGAACATAGGAAGACAAATTTAGAAATTAATTTCCACAGTTTTAAATGGCCTTTTGTAAACACAACTGTGGATAAATTAGAAAATGTGGTTTGAATTACATTTTATGTCCACACTAGTGTTTTTAATGTGTTCAGTCAGTGAAGGATTTATCATAAGAGTGCTGAAGAGTTTAACTCATTCAGCCCATTAGTTACTGTATGCACACTGTGCATCAGTGTTTGTTGTGGACTGACGATTCTAACCTGCAGGTAAAAGATGAACAAAAGTGCAGTGTTAGGGATAGATAAAGCTAGAAAACAAGTTGGTAATTTATAGTACTGTTGTCCAACTATGTTGGAAGGCAAATGTGTTTATAGCTGTTCCAAACGGCCACGCTCCAAGGTGCAGTGAAAAGCCAGCCATCAGTGAGAGGGGTGAGATGCAAAAATCAATTCAACATGAGGATAACACATTTTCAGACAGCCTTTCGTGAAAGGCACTCATAGTGTTGCACTCAGTTGTTCACACAAAAAGTCACAGAAATAGTGGTGTGATGAATGAAAAAGGAGCTGAAGGGGTAAGTTCAAACTCTACTTACTTTCTCACCTCCACACACCTAGCCAACCACTGTGTGAAGTGAGCATGAATGTCAGATTGTGGATTTTGGAAAGTAACAGAAATGCAGATGCAGCCCCTCCAATTAGGACGCAAGAAAGTATTGGTAGGAGCTGTTTGACTATCTGACAGGCATGTTCTGATGGAGAATATTGGCACCTTTAATCACAGCTCTGCCAGAAGGTTGCGCCGAAACAGGAAATTCATCCTCAGATTCACTGGTTGTAATTAAAGCTGGAGTAGGCTGGTTCATTTTGGTTTAATTGGGTTAAACTCCCATGATAAACTTAGAGCATATGGTAATTCAAATCGACTGAGAGAAAACAAGATGTCTGCAACTCCTCTTAACTGTTTTCAGGCTGTAGAAAATCACGGCTGTGACAGGAGATTTCAGTCAATCACGGGTCATTTCAGAGAGAGAGTGCTGGTATTGGCTGTTCTGCAGATGCAGATGCATGTGCATGTCCCTTCAGTGAAAGCCTGATTCAATGGCGGAGAATCCTGCAGAGAAAGTTAATGTTCCAGCATTGGTAACAACTGCCTACACTGCAAGGCAACCCAGAGAAGGAAGACGGACTTATCACAGGGTGAGTTTAAAAGACAGTTTGACAATGAACGCAATAAAACATGTAACAATATCAGTGAAGCATTTTGAAGATGGAGAGAAAATGTTGCTAATAGTTAGCCTTCTGCCAACTGGAGCTAAAGGCTCACGTCTGCGGCTTAAAGTTCACGTTTATTTAGCTAATGTTAGCTGGAGCCTTGAATCACAGTGTGCCATCTGCCTCACTCGCCGCTGCTACAGACCACCTCGCTGGATGGAGAGCGGGTAGCAGCTTCAGAGACAGACCCCCAGTCAGTGGATGCAGCAACCTGAATCCAGCTAGCACAAA